TTCAATAAACATGGGGTTGGCAGGTCTCTCACGTACTGCGGAGGCAGCGCCCAGGAGACATTTTCCGGTACCTGCGTACCTGTACAGCATGGTTCCAGCCCACAATGTGCAACGGAACATGTAGGCTGGCACAGGGCCTCGTCTCGTCGCAGAAGCAAGCCTGGCCGTGTTTCACATAAATTATATGTCTGTTAGAGCTGACAGGATATTTTCTTGGCTTTCATCAAGGGCGCGCAGTCCATGGTGTGCGTTTTTGATACCATCAAAGCATGGCGATTTGCGGCGGGACCTTGTGTGCATCCGACTCGTCCGCTTCGACAGGCCGATCGCGAGCCGGAGAGGTGAACGGGCATCCCGCGTACATATCACCAGGAACCGGACATTAGGCACAAGCCAGACAGACCCATGACGAACCTTGGGCAAGGTACACACAGCTCGTTGTCATGCGGGCGGGACGGGGTAGTTCGCCAGATGGAGGGGGCGTAAGAGTAGTGCATTTATGTTCAGCCGAACCCTGATGTTGCCCCGAATCATGTTCCCGCTCCTGGCATTGGAGGTGGTGACCTGGCTGGGGTGGCTGATGCGTGAAGCCCCGTTCGTTGCATCGCGCGGGCATGAAGTGCAAAGGACCGGCTGTCTCTCGCGCGAGGGCTTGGACGGAGCCGCAAAGCTGGGGTTCCCTCCGTTTCCTCAGCCCAGCGAAGGCTACATCCATAGAGAGCCACATAGCTTCGGCTACGTCGACAGCTTTGAAAGGCCCATCGCTCGCCGTGGCCGTGGCGCTCGCTCAGACCGTTGGAGACCCAGTTAGTGGCGGGTGGCCTGTGGGAATTTCCGAGAGCAAACGCACGCGCCCTGCTAGCCGCCTACAGAAGCAGATACGCGATTGTGACAAGTGTGCGGCCTGATCGTGGGCACGGGAGTGAAATGCTGCTCCTGTGGGCAACGGGCCGCCGATCTCGGCCGCGAGTCGTCCAGTGTGTTGGCACAGGGATGACTTGCAGCGTAGTTCGACAAAAGTGCGACTATTTGACAACTCGGGCGACGAAGATCTGGGCCTATTCTGCTTGTTGACGACCATCCACACCGCCGGTCATTGATCGGAAGGGGCTGTTACGACGCAACGAGCCTTCGTTCGCTCGGGTTGTTGACAGCGTAGGGTGTGTACTCCGCAGATGCCTCCGCTCTTCTCCTAACGGGGTACCTTCGAAGCTAATGAACGTTCGTGCTTTGGCGTCCAGCCATTCTTCACAGACTCTGGCGCTCCACCTCTCGCCTGGTGACACTGACAGCAATCCGCGGAGAATGAGGGGCAACGGTGCTGGAGCACGATCAACGCGAGACTCCAGATCAGTCCGTATCCACGAGTGATGCCGGTCTCTGCTCCATGCCATCTCTTTAACCGTACTGTCCAAAAGCAAATCCCACCTGGTCCACAACTCGATTGCTATCACCCCGAGAGACCACATGTCGACTGCATTGGTGTAAGGCTGATCTGAATTCCAGACTTCGGGCGCCATATAGGCTATGGAACCTGCGAACGTCTGCATGCGGCCAGTGGTGCTGTACTTCGAAAGGCCAACGTCTGCAATCTTGGCGACTAAGCGTCCTGTGACTCGCTGTACAAGGATATTCTCCGGCTTCAAATCGCGATGTGCGAAACAATGGGAGTGCATGAAAGCCAAGCCGGAGCTGACTTGACGCAACGTGTCAGGAATCTCGTCATCTTCGAGAATGGCAGAGCGGAGATCATGGGACATCCACTCCATTATCAACCACGGCGGCTCAGTTGCGTCTCGTCCCATGAGAACCTCAACCGCTTGGACTATGTGATCCTGGACGGCGTCAGCTCGCGGCCCACGTCACGATATCGACAGTTACTTGCATGTTTCAACGTCGTGAGCTTCTGAAATTCCTTCGACAGTGATTCCCACCGGTTTCGTGCTTTCCCGGGGGCGTCCGACACCCTGTAATGGGGTACTTTGGCCGCAAAGTATGTGCCGGACTTCAGCTCCCTAACTTTCATAACTGACGCAAAGGTGCCAGCCCCGATGTCAGCCCCTTCTCGCTTGTAGGCGTTGTTCGTCGAAAGTCCAAATCTGATGTCCAGCGTCGGAACCGAGCTACCGATTGCAGACCTAGGCAAGGCACCCATGTAATCGCGGTGGAACAGCTCGGCATTCCTTTTGTATCGTTGTCGTTGGCCATTGTCGCAGGACAAGTCCGGACGCCATGCCCGTAATCGAACCTCTCCAAGATCGATGATGACAGGAAACGTGATTTCGACACGATCCTTTGGCTCCAACTGAATCGTTTTCGTATGAGTGCTGTCGTGTATGCGCATAGGGTTTCGTGATATGTTCGTCAGCCTTGGGCGATGAGCCTCGGGCTCGATGTCGACCCGAAAGTGTCGCCGGCTGACACCAGTTCGATTATCCTTGGCCAGCTGGAGGTCACATTGTTCCGAATCGGGCCAGGAACCACATATCCACCCTTCAGGAGAGAACATATGCCGACCGAACATGAGGCAAAGAAATGGCCCAGTCAGGTCAGCAAATCTTTGGCTACCACACCAGCCCTCGTTATCCGCTCCATCCTCGGGTGTGAACGAGAACCTGCTGTTGTCGGAAAGACCGAGAATATCCTCAGTACCTTCAATATTCCCTAAAAGAAGCACTATGTCCGACAATTCGGCATCTGCTGTCATTCTGCTACGCTGAGGGAGAGGACGACGCAAAGCGTAATGGCTGAAGGTGGTTTGAGTTCGGGTGCAGCGGCGTTGACGTGATGAGTTCGGAGCATGGAGTGCACTGTTGGTGAAGCAATGGTGTAATTATACTGTGTGGCGGCCAAAGGCTGGATTATCGTGTCAGCGCGAATGCATCTATAGGTTCGGACATGCTTCAGGATGAAACGCACCTCCTCGTCGGAGGTGCAGATTGGCTAGGGCCATTCGATGTGGCGCATCAGGATTGGTGGGCTTTGCCGCCGACGCGACCGACGCGCCCAGCACGTTTCTCCACCCTCGACGCGCCCAAGGCCTTCAGCCTGTCACTGCGTCGCGGCGCAACTGCACGTTGCGTCGGTCGAGAACGAGTCTGGCGGGCCGTTTGCGACCTTGTCCTGCTCGGTCGATCTGGTCCATTTTCAGGAGGACTCAAGCGTCCGCGACTGTTTGTCGTCTTTGCCAGATACTGGTCCACCATTTCTGCCTCTCTCGCATCCAAGGAGCGGCGGAGGAGATCTGCTTCGGGTTTCCAATATTCTTGGCGTGCAATCGATAGTCTTTGCTTGTATATATCCTGCGAGCTGAGTCCGAGCGTTTTCAGCAGTTTTCTGAGCATCACAGAGCGCTTTCGCCAGGTGCTACAGGAGCCTGCGTCGTCTGGGCAGCTGTCGCCCTTGTGTATCGCTTCGAGCAAGATGGTCTCAAAATGTTCAGCTTCAAGTTGCCAGTAGGCGGCATCAGGGATGTTCGTGCGAAGGTCATCAATCTCCCTGTGTGTGAAGCTGGCGTGACGATTCCGGCAGATCCAATCGTACGATTGCTCGACGGGCTCGTTTCGAAAGACGGGTTCGGGTGTCGTTTCGTCAAGTCGTCGTAATTCTTCTCGAAGTCTCGCCGTAACTTGATCCGCATCAGGCGGCGGCGGGATGCCAAACGACCTCGGGGTATTCATTCTCCAGTAAGGATGGATGGTGTCATAGACGGGCCATGTTGAATTGGATCGTCATTTGCATTTATGAGGCGGAATGGGGGAACTGGTGGACCGAGTCACGTGAAAGGTGGAACAAGCTTGTTCAAGAACAGGCCAGCCTAAGATGCATTCGGGAGCGAATGGCCCACAAGCGTTCTGATCAGGCGGCACTTCCTGGCCCATCGTCGTGACCGACCGACCACCCTGACAAGATTGCCTGATGTCGCACCAGCCCCTTTTCTTCGCGTCGAGTCCAAAGCGGCAGACGGCAGATAATACCAGACAACAGCCTCATTCTCGTTGTGCTATCAAATCCTTGTAGCCCCAAGGCAAAGCTTGAGTGACTGGAGCGGTATTCCCACCGCCTACCGTGTTGTCGGCATCTGCATGCGCCTGCTTCGTGACAAGCTCCAGGGGGACGCTCGACCGCGGCACTACGTCTCTTGGGAAGAGGCTCGCGTCGTGCTTTTCAAGGTAATGTCGCTTGTTTTTGGATATACCTTTGTAAGTGATGAGACAAAGACGTGGTAAATGCGCGAACCGAACGCGAAGCTATGGTCTACTGGCAGCTAGAGGCTCTACAGGGTATTCAAGTGCCCCCCTGTAAACAAAGTTGAGAGCTACTATGCATGGACTGGTGCATTGGACAACCTGGAAGAAGCAATCCAGTTGGCGCGACAAACGGCCGCTGCAACGTCCGATAACCACCCCATGCGCCCAAACGCCCTGAGTAACCTCGCAAACATGCGAGCCGGTGTGAACGGCCTGGGGCGAGTGAGGACCTGAGCAAAGCCATCAGTCTAGAGAGACAAGCGGTCGCTGCCACGCCCAGCGCCAATCCCAACAACGCAGGCAGGCTGAATAACCTTGCATACAAACTTGCGACTTGATATGAACGGACTGGGGCGATGGAACCAGGAAGAAGCAATTAAGCTGGCTGGACAGGCGGCCGCTGCGATGCCCGATGACCACCCCGAGCGCACGATGCTCTTGGACCCGGGTCTCTGCTTAGTTGGAGCCAAATTTGAATCAAAGCGTATGGCCAGATGTGGTTTGTCTGGGCCTGCACCGCCCAAGCTGGATGATAAGAGATCTTCGATGCGGGGTTAGCGGCGAAAACAGTGACGGAGGCGCCGTCCATCCAAGTATTTGCGTTGGCAGCGGCGGCTGGTTCGTGACATGCAGAGCATGTTTGCTTAGGTGCGGCTTGCTACGGCCCACATGCTCTTCAGACTGTCCCGGAGCCCGGTGCGGAAATTTTGCAACGGCTTAATGGAATAGAACGCGTCAACTGCGCTCCAGTTAGTAGGCCTTGGCGTTGCCAGGCTGATATGGCGGTGTAGGGCATGCGGCTGCGAGAGTGCTGGCTGTCAGGCGATGCTCTAGGTCCTGTTGCCAGGCTTCCTCGCTGTCCATATATACCTCGACCGAAGTCAGCGACTGAGTATACAAGAGGAGGCGTCCATGTAGACTCACATCGTGCAGTAGCCGCGGTATCGCAGCTTTGAATTCTCTTCGATTACCCGTTCGCAGAGACTTCTCACTTGCTCCGCGGTCATGCCCAAGTGTTCGACCATAGGCAAAACACCCATGGCTTCCAGGCCCTGGCCGAGACCAAGATTAAACCATTTCGCAGCTTCTCGCTCGTTTTGGTTGGGAGACCACGGGTTCACATAGCACCTGATGGTCTGTTCGTCAAAGTCGACAAAGCCAGCGTCCTCAATCATTCTCCTGCTTCTCTGGGGAAGGATCCTGGCGCTTCGTTTACAGCTGTCCAAAGCTTCAAGCAGTCGATTGGCCCATTCCCTAAGCGCAGAGTTTGGTGGCACCTCGCCATGTTCCTCCCACTGCGGGTTCCAGTCGATCTCAACCTGTTCGAGGCACCCTGTTCCTGGTGCCAAGCGCCTGATGCTTTCATTAGGCGTGAAGGTGGGTAATTTGATGGGAGTACACGTACTGAAATATGTTGCGGTAGATAGTTGGCCAGCATTCGTTGTGGATGCTTCCTAGGAGGGTTCTCATGTGAACAAGATCGTACGGCGGGGATATGATATCACCCCAGGAAGGATCTTCAATGTCGAATTGCAGGATAGCCATGCCACGAGGGATACTAGCATGGTCAGATGACGATACATTGTCATGCGGGGTGGCCTACTCACAACTGAGGCTGAATCCTGTTGAGGTCAACCGCCATAACCGTCGCAGTATGTGCAGATCTGCGATGTCTCAGAATGGAAATATATATCGTCGGCAGGGGAACAGATCACTCTTACTCCTCGCAAATGCTGATCGCCCAGATGCCAGTCCCAGTCCCAAGGTCCAGCACCCTGGCGGGATGGTTAAGCTTTAGGAGGTTGCAGCTCGTCAGAGCGTTTCCCCTAGCCACGAGGAAGAATTTGTGGAATATGTCGAGTCTGTTCAGTTCCTCCTGGATGCACCGTCAACGCCCAACCTGGTCGGGAATGAGATTACACCGCGCTTACTGCATCGATTGGGATAAGATACTTTCCTAATCGCCAATTTCCGTAGTATCGGCCGTGCGCCCAGTACCCCTGCGGCGCCATCGGTATACAAGTCTCTTGGAGGCGTGCCGTGCGCTGGATCTCAGTCAAACTGCCGTTGAACCATATAATCGCTTGCGGTAACAGCAATCCCAAAGCTCTAGAGACATTGCAATGGTATTTGAAAGCGTCATCGATATCCCAGAAGGAGCTTGGTCAAGCTAGCCCACAAAATATAAACTCCAAGTGCCGTCAATCAAAGCCACTGGCCACGTCGCGGCGTAAGATAGAGCGAACGAGGACAAGTCGGTGTCGTTCAGTCCCTGAACTGCACAGCCATGAAGTGGTCAAAACTGGTGATTGAAGATTTTGAGGAGGTCCAGGGGGGGGGTGGGCATGGACCTTGTTCAATAGTTCCGAAGGAATTTGGAGAGAAACTATTTTCTGACAGTGGGTCAACGCCGTATCCACACGCCGTCAGCTGCAATTGGGCTGCACCGATGAGCCTGCGGCCAAGCCAACGCCTAATCAAGCTTCCATTTTCTTGGCACTCTGGTGGTCTCTCGCTGTACGCTCAATGGACTAAATCCCAACAAATCGCCAGTTGCAAGTCAATCGTAGGAGCGGCAAATGGTGTACCAAACTAAGTGAGCATCCGTTCCCCGGAACTACTGACCGGTTTCCCAGTTTCCCTGCACTCAATCTCAAACTTCAAAAGAATGTATGTATTCCTGTTCCAGTGCTAGCACAGCGCAAATAGCGGCTGAGGCTGCGCTGTGTTCCTGTTACCGGGCCCTTACCACCTGGAGAAAAACGAAATTTTCGCCGCTCCAGAAGTCATATTGACATCTGACAGGCGCCGTTCAGTAGTCAAGTAGCAATCTGGGAGCCACTCAGGCTTTTCTTCTCCCAACGCCATCCGAGCGATTGCCTGGCCGGATAACCAAGCTTGACACATGCCGTATCCATTGAATCCCGCAGCTATCCACTCGCCACTCTCGACATCCCTGCCAACAACTTTCGTGGGTAGACTTCCCACAAGCGGAACCTGATCAGCTGTCATCCCAATGATGCCGGACCAGAGACGGTGAATCGATGGCGCAGTTGGCAGTGTATCATTAGTGATTGGGTTGGTCCATCCTTGGCTAAATATTCTTCTCGGCAGCAATGTAGCGAGATTTGCTGCCGATTCAGCGCTGGTGACCGAGTCATCTAGGAGCTCGGCCATCACCGACACGGCAAAAGTGGATCGAGTGTTGCAAAAAGAGTGTGTGCAGGAGGACGGCGGTTCCGCTCACAGCTGTACTTTCTGTCGATCACCTCCGACGAAAAGAATGCCAGTCTCGGCATTTTTGAGTTTGGAGGTGATCAAGACGCGCACTTGGAGTCAATGGTATTGACCGGAAAACTTGGGTTGATTTGGCTCAGCTCGGGAATTTCGAGGCTCTCGCTTCATGGCTGTATGCGACGTTGCTGGAGTTCCCAAGTGGTGTTTGAGGTGGTTGACGTGAGAGATTCTTTGACGACATGTTGAGCGAAATGAGTGGGAATGAATTCGCGTACCACATAGCCTTTGGGCTCCTGTTCAAGTGAGATAGAAGACTTTTCTCAAATGTACTGTATGTAGCGGCAGAGTTACTGAGCGTCATCAATCCTCTGTCCATGTTCTGGCCCTTCGTAGATCCTCCTCCATGTCGTGGGGCTAGTGCTGACAGACGCTGCCGCTCTCCCGTCAATCAAAGAGTCAAGCCGTAGCAGTAATATCCGCGAGCCCTTTGGGCATCATCGCCCATGCAAACAAATTTATTAAAGTTTGCTTCTTCAGCGGGATCCTTCAAGTCTTGGACCGCTCCTTGCTGAGTGCGGATGGTCTCGTTCTGGTCCTGGATTACTTAAGTGCCTCAGCTCTTGGATCACGGTGCCGTACGCACCCAGCAGCTCCAAGGCTACCTGCAGCGTCGTCGCTTCCTCATGATTCTTGGCATTTCTCTTATCGACAATAGGCGCGTGATCGACCACTGCGGCCGCTGCCTGAGCGGTCGCTCTCGTGCCGTACCGACTGCCTTTATTCGGCTCTTTCTCGTTGTCGTCCAGCGTCCGTTTCATGTACGACGCCCCGCCGGCGTCACCAAATCGCGTGGCGACCCGCCAACGTCCCCGCACGAGCTTATTCTGGGAGCAGGCCAACAACCTGACAATCTCAATTGAGGGATAATAGGAAATTTAACGAACAGTAAACGTCTCTCTCTCCAGTCTCTCTCCTCATATCTACTACATACACAAGGGCCTTGTGGAAAGTTAGGCCCGGGGGACGTTGTGACATGTTGCTATGGCCCATTATAGAATATCTGGTATCCATTCCCGTGGAGGCCGTTCTACCGGTTCCCGCCAGTAAGCTCGTGATCAGGGTTTCCTTGACATATGATTTGCATATCCGTGGACAAGTTTCTCATTGCTTCCTGTGATCGGTACCTCCATCGCTATGCAGGAGCCACCGACAGTCCGCAATCGCTTGCTATCGACAGTGAACTGGTGTAAGCTGTCCCGCTAGAGGTCGCAGTGGCCCGTGAACGGCAATAGTCAGACGCAGTGAAATCGTACTGTTGTTGAACAACCTCCGGAAAGGTGGGCAGTCTGTGTTTGAGGGTAGTGGTGACATTTGTGGCCTGGTATCACGGAGATCCCGCTCGCGTTGGGGTGATTGTCGTCGAATCCTGAGCAGTTGCAAGTCAGCTAACAAGTTTGAGAAGGCACTCGACCAAAGGCTTTGACACCGCTGGAGACTGGGATCCGGCTGCAACGGCTACTTACCAGTAGGTGTTGAATATGGCGGAAGTCGTAGAGAAAAACAGAGTCTGTCTGCGTCTTCCGTAGCGGCTGAAGTTTAAATTCTAGGGCCTTCTGCAGGCACAGCCGCTCTTATACCGTCCAGTAACCACGGTGCTAGCGTGACGAAGCAACTTGGTACTCAGCCCATGTGTTGCCAGCGAGTCTTACGAACTGCCCTTGCGGAGAGGATGAGAGCAACCAGCTAGCTTGATCAGCACGCGATACTCAACATATTCCTCTCCGTCAATGGTGATGATAGTGCCTTGCGATACCAGTCCACCGGCAAACGGCCCTTGCGTCTTTCGCTCATACTTCATGCCTCGCCACACTTTAGCATCTTGGAGTACATGCGATCCCTGCAGGGGCCCTTGACTGACCCGCGCCTCATCCATCAAACATAAGGGCATCCGACTTGCGTTACACTCCATCTGTTCATCGGTGGCGACGCTCGACCTGCTATGTTGCTCTTCGACGCAATGCTCAACTCGTGCTCGGATGAGTCGCGTATCGTCGTGACCAGAGTTGTGGGAGGGAACTCCCACAAACCGGACCCTTTTGGGGACTTTCTGGCCTGGAGAAAGCGAATTCTTGCCGCCTAAATGCTGGGCGCTCGGGCAGGGTTGAAGCAGCCCGCTCCGGTGAGACGGGCGCAACGCATACCGCCCAGGACCGGACTGAGGCGTCCCCCGCTCCGATTCCATGTCCGAGGAAACCTTCATGATGGTCGGTAGTTGTGCCTCATTCATTTCGCGGGTATGCTTCGTATGGACCAGGTTCGGCGAAGCTTGCTGGCGGGAAAAAGCACGTGCGTCTTGATTGCTCTGTGTTGATGACAACTCGCGCGGGGGGGCTCAAGAAGAGGCCTCAAAATTCGGGACGGCCTCCCTGGGTCACAGCAGGTTATTAGAAGCTAATTTAGCGATGCCCCACATGCGAGGATAGTAACGGGTTGGGGATTGGGTGAGCCTGAGTCGCTTATTCACATTTTTGTCTCTCGCTTGCTTTGTTTCACTTACGTTCAGCAATCATTTTGCGGAGATCTGCCTTACATTTNCCCCCAACCCCCTTTTCTCTGCCGCATCAACTTCCCATTCTAGGGCTGACCGGGGGGATGAGAGCCCCGGCGCCACAACCCGTGGAAAACGCTCTTCCCGACGACGGCAACACTCCCAGACGGGACGATGGTTCCCTCATAACAAAGCATATAAAGCCCAAGCGGCGCTGGCGCCGTTACTCTCGGCCTACAAAATGGCGCTGAAATCGAAGATAAACCTCAAGGCAAGACGTGCTGAGGAGCCATCCAAGTGTGACTGGGGCTGACAACTGCTCTTGGTCCGCTGACAAGCCCAAGGGCTTCAACTTCATCCCGAGCTGTCAACACGACTTTGGGTATCGCAATACCAAACCCATAAGTGAAGCTGTCTCTGTCTCTTGTCTCCTGCATCTGCGGCGCTCTTTACAAAGCAAGTACTGTACGTATCGGAAACATCGACAAAGAATCCACTTCCGCTGCTGCAGATCTGTGTACTTTGGCGCGAAGTGATGGCATCTACATGCGACCACTCCCAATGTCGGTGAAGAACTTTGTCTTGGCCCAGAAAGGGGACACCGGTCGAAAGTTCACTATAGGGATCGCGTACCATGTGGACTGGGCTGCGGCTCAACTCTCGAATGCAACAGAATGCCCAAGCATCTCAAATTGAAGCACTACAACTGACAACATGTCATCGAACATTTATCCTACACGGCAGGAGACAACACGAGTACGGCTCTGGGCATGCTCAGCATGTGGAGATGAGCTTGCGAGACCGGGCGCAACCAGCACCAGCCCCCGGCCTGGGGGACTCGAGGCAACTTACAGCCAACAGCTCTGTAATGTCGAGGGCGAGCATCGACAGCGCCGAGATGCGCCGGAAGTATGATGGTCTCATTCGCACCTTACTCCATGAAAGTCGGACCAGCACAGCCGCCGCCTTACCTGGCGAAACAAAGTAGAGCGAGGGCTTCGACTCCTCTCCAGGATACTCCCCGACTACCTCGAGATACCAACTGCACGAATAGGTGCCTATCCGACACGACTGACAACATAGAAGTCTGGTATGGGACAGGAAGAAATGAGGTCCCTCGACCACCAAGACCTTTCTCCGCAAGCCCACTGTTATTCGATCACGTCAGCCAATATGGGGACAGGGTCTTGATTCGTTCTTGGAGAACCTGAACGATGATTTTGCCGG